AGGCTAAATAGTGACAAAACTATTTTATTAAAAGCCAACATTTCGACCCGACTTTGCAGGTGTTCTTCAGGGAGGTATGTTCAGCTAGAACTTTCTCTTAAAACTGAACTTTGAGTTCTAAGTGAAAATCCTAGCTGAGCACACCTCTCTGAAGAAGACCTGCAAAGTTAGGTCGAAACATTGGCTTTTAATAAAATAGTTTTGTCACTATTTAGCCTATTCATGACCACCACCCTGGAACATCTCCTTCCTTCATAATGCAACGGTAAACTTTTATTCAATAAATATAACATAGTTGATTGAAGATATACAATGGTTAGCCAAATAATGTTTATAATAAAGACAATTGTAATGGATTGAAATGATATGTAGGACAATATGTTATACAAGATTTTAATAATAACAAAATTAATCATAATAGAAATATGTATTATATTAAAGATTACATAATTTTTATAGTATAGGTATAAATATATCTGTGCCTGTAAATATATCTTGGGAATGGATATATACATATATATATATATATATATATAAATGTAGGAGTAGTTACCTATGTAAGTTGACAGGGAAATGGAGAAAATTAAACAAATTTTTAATGATTGTAGACTATTGTTTTAGGAGGTGAAATATATTCGAATATGTGTTGCAGATCTTTTTTTTTATCTACTTTGTGGTTTACCGGATTATTTTTTTACCATCCGGATTGTCCTGGCCCATCTTAAGCTCTACACCATTCGCACTCTGCTTATTCGCCATCTTCTACAATTCATTCTGCTCTCTCTCTCTCCAGATACTTCAAACACCAAAACAAAGTTAAACTGCTTCCCATTTCTCAAAACTACATACCCTTCCCAAAAATCTGTTCCCATTCATTAAAAAAATTAGCACATAAAGAAGAATCTTTAATTTTTCTCCTAAAATGCAGATCTCACTCTTCATTTCCAAATTTTATTACTAATAATACAAAGTTAAAATTAACAAAAATCTCCTTTCTAAATTTAACATCATAATCCGTTTCAAAAAATCCATCCTCAACTTGCACATAAAACATACCATTTTTCTCATAAAATCAATAAAACATAAAATGATTACTTCCGAAAATACCATTATCAATAATTTCTCAAATGAACACATTTTAGTCCTTAAAAATTCTATTAATAATATTTACCATACATTTAAATCTCTAAGAAAGACAATTTTAAATAAAAAATTCTGCTAACTTCAAATATCATCGAATTCAACTAAGGTTTATCCCTGTGGCAATATGGATTGGGTTCATAACATTTCTTCTGTGAACTCCTGCCTCACGTAAGCAATATCCTTAGGCTCAGCCCAAATTTCAACACTCCATCTCAATCCACCAACCTTACCCCAGCTCTCCTTACTGAACTAGAATATATCCATCAAGAATCCAACCTGATTGTTAACGATGACGAACAGACTATTTCTGGAACCCGAACATGCAGAGAGAGAATCACTTTATTATCATAAAATGGTGCTGTCCAATTACATTGAGTTGCTAAAAACACAGCATACTTATTAATCACTACAGACAATTTTAAAAATAATATATAATTATATAGGATTAACAATATTTATGAGCACAGTATACAATATTTATATATATATATTGTATATATATATTGTACAATCACCAACAATCTCCAGCACCCATCTTCAATACCATCCCCTTTATCATCACAATTTCTAAAAGATCTTTCCTCTACTCGCTCCTTTCTAAACTCTCAAAATGGAATCATTGTCACTCATGCAGGCAAAGGTAACAAAACTGTTGTTATGGACTGTGCCGAGTACAATGAAAAATTATTTGCTCTCCTTTCGGAACAAACCACCTATCTCCCCACAAAACGTGACCCCATACCATCTCTCACAACCAAATTCAAACAACACCTAAAACATCTTCTCGATACTAAACAAATTAAAATCCCTACCTATAGAAGTCTCATCTCTTATAATTTCACTGCTCCCTGGTACTACAGCTTACCAAAAATCCATAAACCAGGCAATCCTCTCCGAAATAAATAACTTCCGAATTCCTCTATCTACAAATAGTTTTCAAAAATAACAGTAAATTAAGAAATCTATACACCAAACTCAAAGATCCTGTCAAAAAGATCTGCAACACATATTCAAATATTTTCCACCTCCTAAAACAATAGTCTATAATCATTAAAAATTTGTTTTTTATTTTCATATTTTTATCATATAATTTATCAAATAATCTATAATATAACATTAATTTCAGTTCTAAAGTCGATATTGAAAATAATTTCTTATATTTGTTATCCAAGTTATTTCTCAAAACATATATTCAATACATATGAATGAGATGCCCCAACATATGTAATATGTAATATGTAAAACAAATGAAACAAAGAAGACAAACAATTAGGATAATATTTTCTTACTATTATAAATATTAATAGCGAGAATTCTCACAATACTTTTTTTTATGTTAATCCATGTTTCTGTTGAAAGAAGTTTCTGTTTTTTCAAATGCAATTATGATAATCATTTAGGCAAGGTGAAGTGTATAAATTAATCTGTATAAAGTTTATAAATTGATCTGTATAAATTAAATCATGATATCAAACAATTTATAATATAAATTATATAAACATACTTTTTTCTAAAAAAATTATCTGAAATGGATAGTTTCATTTAAACAATTTGTATAAACATAAAAAACTAAAAACAAATTGCAACTTCTAATTAGTATCATCAATGATTATAAATACTAAAAAAAATATTTCCTAACATCATTAAATATAATTTTATTTCTAACATGTTGTAGGGCATTTAAAAATTTTGTCAGAAGGTTGAACAAACATGATGTTAACGTTTCAGTATTGTATTCTTAATATCAAAACATTTTTCAAATAATTTAATTAATGATTTGAGCAAATAGGCAGTTAATAATCAATAAAATTTAATTGACAGTTTCAGCTAATGATCAATTAATAATCAATCAATTTTCATTGACAACTTGAACATTGGCAAGTCCAGACTAGTAAGTAACTAAGTAATTATTATTTAATATTAAATATATATATATATATATATATATATATATATATATATATATATATATATTTGGTGTTTGAAGTATCTGGAGAGAGAGCAGAATGAATTGTAGAAGGAGATGGCGTATAAGCAGAGTGCGAGTGGTGTAGAGCTTAAGATGGGCCAGGACAATCTAGATGGGAAAAAAATAATTCCGGTAAACCACAAAGTAGATAAAAAAAAAATCTGCAACACATATTCGAATATATTCTGCCTCCTAAAACAATAGTCTACAATCATTAAAAATTTGTTTAATTTTCTCCATTTCCCTGTCAACTTACATAGGTAACTATTCCTACGTTTATATATATATATATATATATATATATATATATATATATATATACATGTAATGTCCATTCCCAAGATATGTTTACAGGCACAAATATATTTATACCTATACTATTAAAATTATGTAATCCTTAATATAATACATATTTCTATTATGATTAATATTGTTATTCTTAAAATATTGTATAATATATTGTCCTATGTATCATTTCAATCCATTACAATTATCTTTATTATAAACATTATTTGGCTAACCATTGTATACATTCAATCAAACTATGTTATATTCATATTGACTGGTACCTCTTGCTTATGTTCATTTTATTTAGTAATGAATAGTAATGAGCCAATAGTCACAATTCTGTAACCATAAGAAACAACGCAAATCTTGTACACATCTTGAATATTTAATCAGCAAATTATTTACATTCTGCAAACAGAAATGTTACCTCTCTCTCCCCCCTTCTGATTATGTTTACCTACCTTATGATATCTGAAAAAGGACAAAAAGGAAATCCTCCCCTGACACTTTCACTTACCTACTGAATGTGTAAGTACTTGAAAATCTTCAGTGCTCGAACCGCACTTAGTTAGAGAAAATATTACAATTTTTTATAAATGGGTTATATACATTATTTTTAGTTTGTACAGCTTTTTACATATTTCATTTTTAATATTGTGTATTGTAATATTAGTTAAAATTCATGTACCATCAATCACTATAGTGTATTATTAACCATTATCGGACGTATAATATTATATCTCAGATTGTATTTAAAAAAATTTTAGCACTAATGATGACCCACATGTTTGGGTCGAAACGTCAGCACTAATAAAAAGTTTATAATGACTGCGTCCTGAATATTTATCACTCAGTTAATAGTATTTATATTGTATATATTTTTTATTTTCTATATTGTTGCTGAGTTATTATTTTGCTGTTATTCAATTTATTTATATTTTGTGTAAATATGGTTTGAATGCATTCTTTTCGCAATACAACTACTGCCCCTAATTGTGAAATTATGTTATACTGCTAAATAAAATAGTTTAAAGATAATAATAATTAGTGGTACAGACTCACTCAATAAAATAAAGAGTTTCTGTTTGTGACTTAAATTTATGAAATGTATGATTAAATACTTGATTGTTTTTTCTTACCCTCCAGAAATCTTTATTATAAACAAAATACAATATATTATAATATATGTATTCACACTATTTATTGATCCTTTTATTAATTTTCTTTAATTAAGTTAAAGAAAACTGTATAAGTAATTGTTGTGTGATTCATCTCTTTTTAAAAATACATTAGTGTCTATCCTTGATATAATTCAGAATCCCACCTAGTTATTTTCAATAATATAATTCAATAAGTAATAGTAATAATTTTAATGTATAGTTATTTCCATCAAGCAAAGATCATAAAATTTTTTATAGTTTAGATGATTTATAAAGGTAATTAATTATCAAAGTCTTTTATTATTGATTTATATTAATATACATTAGAAATATAGGTTTGATGAACTAATTTATTTACATATGTAATGGACGTGTTGCTTTTAGCGCAGCCTATGGATGAACAAGAGAAACTTTACAGCCACCTTATTTAAAATTGTGAGGTTTCAAGGTAGGTTCAGATCGCTGTCAGCGTGATTAGACTCACGGTCCCTTCATGATAAGGTTGTCATTAGTGGTACAACTATAATTATAATGTAATCTTAACATGAAATTGCTGGTGTAGTTCATTCGAAATCGTCATTAAATAATAATACTTTGGAGTTTATTATTTTGTCTATTTAAACAATTATGGGCAGTTATGTTAGTTATTTTTTCGGTCAGTTTAATAAGACTGACAAGAAAGAAAATACTTTAGAACAGATAAAAGATATTTTTAAGCAATATGGAAGTGGATCCATTGATTTATCTCTTGTTGATGACGGTATAGGAATTTTGGTTATCAACAATCCTGAAAAGAGGAATGCAATGAGTGGTAATAAATTTCAGTTGTTTTTTAATCAATTACTTAACCCATGACTCTTACTATGCTGTTGAGCCGAAAGTATATAGCTTAGTGTATGTTTAAGGTAAAATGATGGTTCAACTATGTGATGCGATTAGTGAATTAGAAAAGTGGAAGGATGGAAGAGGCTTACTGATTCATGGAGCTGGATTAGGCTTTTGTTCAGGTGGTGATCTAGACTTCATCAGATCTTCAACAAACCAAAATCTTGGTTCAGATATGTCTCGTCTTCTTACTGATGCCCTTAACAGACTTAGAGCCCTACCTATTGTATCACTTGCTTACATTCATGGATTTGGTGAGTATGTGGTCCGTATTCTTCCAATAATTCAAACAACAATTTAATTGACTATAAGGTGGAGTATTAGGATTAATTATTGATCCAATCGTTGGAATTTTGTCTAGAATTTATGTACTGTGATCTCAATTTTCTTTGTTCCTAAATTTAATTTATTTAAAGCAACTGAATAATTGGATGTTAGTTTATTTTTTTTTCACTTGTATTAGGGTGTAACTACCGAAAAAAAAAATACGATTTGTTTGTGTTAAAATATGTATATAAATCAATATTGGAGCCCAATGATTTTTATTAATGGGCAAATTACTTTACTAGTTGAATCGTAATATCATGCAACATAATGTAATTTTAAATGCATATTTTCTTGGTTGCATTCTATCTGTGAAATGGCTATTAAATAGTATTATGATTGCTTCATGATAAGATATGGTGTGCATGCAATCATTCCCTATTTCATTGTCGTAGTGCATGTCACATTTTATTATTTTGATATTTATATCCATACTTAGTTTGTAAAAAGGAAAAAAAATAATTTTTTTTTTAAATTAGTTTATTAAGAAAACATATATATTTGAATTACTGAAACTTTATTGACCATTTAACTTTTGTTGAATAGATTTAATGAAAATAATAATAATATGTTTGTTACTTTTAATTCATCTATATTGCTCATTGTCAAGCGATTGATTTATAAATTTCCAATGGTCTATTTATTCACAGTCCACAGTCGTATTACTTTCCCTTTCTATAAAGTTTATTCCTAGGTAAATGATAGTAAAAAGATTCTTAAACATGTATAGAGAGAATGTCCTCATTCATAGGCGTTGGATAAATTTTATTTGAACAGTTATTGGTTATTGCAAAGTTCAGTTATCCTACTTGTTTCTGAACAGGAATTTCCAATTAAGCTTTTTATGAAACTTGAAAAAGCTGGTTTATAAGTTCTCTTTAATTTTGAATAATAATTACTTAGTTACTTACTAATCTAGACTTGCCAATGTTTAAGTTGTCAATGAAATTTTATTACTGAAACGTTAACATCATGTTTGTTCAACCTTCTGACAAAATTTTTAAATGCCCTACAACATGTTAGAAATAAAATTATATTTAATGATGTTAGGACATATTTTTTTTAGTATTTATAATCATTGATGATACTAATTAGAAGTTACAATTTGTTTTTATTTTATATTTTCTGTTTATGCAAACTGTTTAAATTAAACTATAGATTTCAGATATTTTTATTAGAAAAAAGTATGCTTATGTAATTTATATTATAAATTGCTTGATATTATGATTTAAATTATACAGATCAATTTATAAACTTTATACAAATTAATTTATACACTTCTCCTTGCCTTAATGATACATCATAATTGCATTTGAAAAAACAGAAACATGGATTAACATAAAAAAAAGTATTGTGAGAATTCTCGCTATTAATATTTATAATAGTAAGAAAATATTATCCTAATTCTTTGTCGTCTTAACATTTGTTTTACATATTACATATGTTGGGGCATCTCATTCATATGTATTGCATATATGTTTTGAGAAATAACTTGGATAACAATTATAAGAAATTATTTTCAATATCGACTTTAGAACTGAAATTAATGTTATATTATAGATTATTTGATAAATTATGATTTAAGTTATGCACATTAAATTATAAATGTGTTTAGTAGATGAAACTAATCGTCTTAATAATGGCATTTTTATCATATTCTATGAATAAATCTAGCCAATCAGGATGATTGAATATGCTGACATTAATTTTTAATTACCACAGCTACGTCCTGGATAGGTAAACTGTCATTTTAAGCACTTTCTTCTATTTTAAAAGTGACTATCATATTATTCCAGTAATATATTTAATAAATGGCGACCATGTAACTATAATTATTATGTTATAATTAGTAATTTGAACATAGGATTCCAAAACCAACCAACTCCAACAATTAACAGTTTTGTTACTAGAATATCATATTGTTGGCAATATGTTAAAGTAACAAATATTAACCTGCCCGACATTGCACATTCGTCACTTTAACATGGTGTTGACAATATGAAAAAATAATTTTTTCCATTGTGAGTTGAATCTGATTTAACTGCTTTTAGAAAAAAAAATTATTTCTCTTCATTATGATCAACCACTAAAACTGTTAATTAAAAAATTAATAAATAAAAAATTGAGAAATGGAGTTGACTGGTTGTTGAATTATATTTGTCAATTAGGCTAATATTAATGAATATGAATCATATTGAGCTGAGTTCGATATCTATTTATTTATATATTGTTTATTTATCATAAACTGTAAAAAAAAATTAGGCAATTCTAAATTATTTCAAAGTTAATTGTAATGATTATATTTAAATTATTTTTATCAATTAGTTTATAAACCAGATTTACACCAAAATTTTATATCATTTTTCACTAAAATATTTTGACTTTTATATTAAAAATGCGTATTTTCAGCTCAATTGATGTTTTTAGTTCCTATAATTTGCAAAATTTTGTTTTGAATCCAATTTAAGAGTGTGAATCTGCAATTCTAATTCAGTTTTAAAAATAAAGCCATCAGAATTAAGAATTAAAAATTAATTAAATCTTTACCTTTCTATTTATCTAGTTAAATTTACATAAATAGATAAAAATTATAAATCATAATTTAGTTGAAAAATAGCTATTATAAATATTTTTGTTTTTATTAATTATTAAGCAGAAAATTGTTGGTGAAATTAAATTTCTATAAAATTAATTCATTTAATTAAATAGCATTACCTAATAGAACGACTCGAGCTTGTCATTATCATTAGACAATAATTTTCTCTTAATTTAGTCATTAAGCAGGAAATAGATAAATGTGAATACCTAATCAGTGCAACTAGAACAATGAAATGGCCTCTCAAAGAATACAATTTTTTTACATAAATAAATTAAATAATAGCTCTCCTATGAAAGACAAAATAGAAAATATGAAAATAGTTATTGAATTTTATGCATAACAGGTAGTTAGTTATTTGTCCTTCCTCTGAGAATATAATATAGTAAATAAAGTGAAATTAAAATTAAGCTTTCTACCATGCATTGGAAAATAATTCATAAAAGGAAAACCTGAGTATGAAGTTTTAAAAGATAAATATACTTCCATTATGGTCTGAAATCCGTTATTAGAATAGATTGATTTTTATTTTACGTGTTCAGTAAAGCAAGATCTGACCAAGGCTGTAGGTCAGAAAAAGGTGTTTTACCTTCACATGATTTTATTGTGCTAATATCTTCAAGGAGACTCAAATTTAAATGAGATACTGTTGGTGTAAAAAATATCTCAATATTCATTCCTCTTTTTTAAGGACCTTTCAGTTTCTCTGTGATAATCTTATCGTCTAGGAAGAATTATTTATGTTTCAAGTATAGATAAATGTTTATGTTAGTAATTTTTTATTTCTTCTATTCTGTAACCCGGAATGGAAATATATTTTATTTCCAACTTACAAATATCATATATATGTCATTATTACAACAATATTTTTATTTACGTAATTATTATTGTTTCACCTTTTATTATATTTTTTTATTATTTTGTAAAAGTGATATTATAAATATTATAATATTAAAATCTTTAATATCAAGATAAACGCAATTTAAAGTTAAACAGAACAGAATAAAGTATATAATTTTTTTTGAAGCCCCTAAGGATGTGGATGTGATGTGAACGTTGCTGAAGATGTGTTGTAACGGAATTAGGAGGAATTGGCATTCTTGAGAATGTGTTTCTAATGATGGGCCTCACTTGTATTGTCATTCCAGTCCAGTAATTTGTTCTTCGTCTAGTTTGAGTTTTTGCATGACATTGCCCACCTCTAGAGCCATCCTTTTAGGCCTATGGATTAGTGATATATTTTAGGCTACAAAACAATTTCATATATCTGTTTTTATGATAAAGTCTGTCACCATCAGTAAGTTGAGGGTTTTATGGAGTCAGTCTGTTCTTGTCCTTAGCAGTAAGCGTGTCTCACCATATGTCTCACCTTGCTGTTCTAAAACTTCTAGGTAATACAAGTATTAGCACGCTATACAAGGAAGTATGTAAAATACAATTTTTTTTCCTATTGATTAGTATGGTTTAGTATCTTTATATAGAATAAATGTTATGTCTGAAACCTTTAGAAAAATAAATCTGGTGTGTCCACTCACACGACTTTCCTACCTATTTGAGAAAAATATTTATATCTTTACATATGTCCATCAAGAAACAAAAACAAATTTAATTTGATTTATTTTCCTGAAAATCGTTCAAAGAAAAGATTTGAGTACGATTTATTCGATTCACCAAAGCAATGTAAACGGGCTTCAGGCAGATCAGTGTAAAAATTTCAATACCCCCTAATATTGCTGTTTCTGTTGAAAGTAGAGGAAATATTGAAGCTTGTATGATGCGGGCAACAGATTTTCTTACTTTCACTTAGTTATCTTTTTCCTCTCATTCACCCCTTTCTGACACCTAGATATGAACCCGTAATCATACATTGGAAATTTAATTACATTGATAACGATATTTATACAGTTTTGTAGAGAATTTCATTACCTTTCAAAAGTTTTATTATAAATTTTACCATAGAATATATGCTTAGCGAGTTAAGCCCCAAAACATTTTTCTTTTCTTTATAACTTTTTTTCCTGAATTTTTCCGGGAATTTAGTCCATATACGAAAATTGAAAGGATAATTATTAGAACATTAAAGGAAAGTTTCATCAAAATCATAAGAGCCGTTTTTGTGCTTCAGTCCGCAGAAAAACATATTTTTCATTTATTGCTCATGGAACATTCAATTTGTGTCACAGGAATCAGTAGTCTAAACCCTACAAAATAAAAAAAGAATCAACAAAATCGGTTCAGTAGTTCCCGAGAAAAAAAAAAAAGATTATTTTATACATTATTCCTCACCACCACACAAGCTACGGATATAGGAACAACATAAGGTTAACCATCAATATAGAAAGTAAAAATTATTTATGCTCCATATTGAGGTATCACATTGTTTTGTCAGCATGTTGATTGGACTTTATTATTAGTAGTGTATCATAGTGCTACATTCCTAACAATACGATTGTTGAAGCTATGTCTGACTTCAATACCTGTTAACAATTGGCAGTATTTGAACAACTGTAAATTTATGCATTTCATTTAAAAATCACTGGATCTAAAATATATTTTATGTATATTTAAGAAAAAAATTTACATATATATTTTTTTTTATTTAAATAAGTAATGTTATGATTTCTTTATGCTTCATAAAACTAATCCTAGTTTCAATAACTATGATCAAATTTTTTCTTTTGTAGCAAAAATAAATTATTATCTATCCATTATTATGGATATGTTTTATTTATTTTTCTTATTTTAATTATATATTTATAAAAAAAATTAAATATTACAATGTAAATTGAATGCTCGTAGGTGCAATAGGTGGTGGTTCTGAAATAGCTATGGCTGCTGATTTGCGCATCATTTCTCCTGGATCCAAAATAGGTTTCGTTCATGGTAAAATGGGTCTCACACCAGCATGGGGTGGAGCTGGAAGGCTAATTCAAGTCAGTATTTGAATATATTTTATTTTTAAATTTAAATTAAAATTTTAAATTTTTCATTGCATTTTATGGGTTATCATGGGTAGAAAATTATGTTTTCTCTAATTATTAAAAATTAACCAAGTATGAATGAGTGCTATCATTCATATGAATGTCTTTCAATGCTGGATCCGGCCATGATAACGGAAATTAACTAAGAGTTTACAGGATGGAGTTACAATCCAACTTGCTCCAGAAAAAAGAAATAAAAAAATCAAAATTGGTGTTTTTTTATTATGTAGATTATTCACTTATCAGAATACAAATAAATTGAACAAGATCAGTTTTTATATATCTGAAATATCATGTAGGGTCCAGAAATCAAATGCCAGTTTTTGAAATGGGTTGACTCAATAAATTTTCAAGATATTTAATAATAAAATAAATGACAATCTCCATTTTCTCTGAGCACTTCAAGTCTTTAGTAAAATTTATTTGAAGTTCGATAATAATTTTGTTTATTAACTCAAAGGATAGAACAGTGTCAGCCTTAGACATTTTGCACCCCAAGACAGTGACGTCATCTACCTCCAAATAAATTAATTTATTTCTTAAACTTATTTATATGAAGTATTAATGTTTCAATTTTATTTAACTTTATATGTCTCTAATTCAGTTACTTTGTTAATAGGCTATAATTATTTATTCTCTTACACTTCATAATTTTTTTTATTTATATCAAGTGGCTTGCATCCCTCCCCTCTCAGTTTGTTTCCCCTGGGCAATTATCCCAGTAATGTCCCCGATGCTATAATTCTTGAACTTGAATAATTTCATAGGAGTAGAAGTTTACGTTTTCTTGAAAAATCAAAGTTCAGCCTCAATGTTGGCTGGTGACCTTGCTATTTTGTGGAACTTCCTTTTTCTTGTTGTTCCAACAGCCGTGTTTTGAAAGTTCAGAAATGAAAAAATATTAGTTTTTCAAGCTGGAGGAGCAATAAGAAATTAACTAAACAGCGACACTTTCCTCAAGTGGTAGAATCTTTTTTGTTTCTGAAGTAAGTCTCAATGACAAAAACATGGTGTCCCATTTTAGGAGAAGAAAATAAAAACTAATCTCAAATCCTCAGACTATTTTCAGTTTCCTCATTAAAAAATTTTGAGGTTTTGTATTCATAACCCTATTTAATGGACTTGAATTATAACTGAGGTCATAGCTCTGAAACTTTATGAATTTCTCAAAGCTTTAAATTAACCCTTACATTCCATTAGACTTTTATCAATAATGACTAAGTGTTATCTAAAATATGGAACATTAACTACAAAATTTTGAAGGAAAAAAAAAAATACTTTTTTGAGAGCTTAGAGAGGAATACAAAATTTTTAAGTTGAGTAAGATCTCAAAATATTTTACAGTTCTATGAAAATTTTTCACTTAACTTCTGATTTTGATTGTGAAATGTTGTTGAGGTGAATATAAATTGTTAATTAATTTGAAATAGGTATAAAAGTATAAATTATATTATATAAGTATTATTTTTTGGGTGAAAATAATTTTCATTGTTGTTTAGGCAGTTGGCCGGGAGCAGGCATTAGAATTACTGTTATCAGGGCGCCTAGTTTCATCTGAAGTTGCAAGGTTTGTACATTTTATTACATGAACAGATTCCATAAGAAAGTTGACAAATACTTTATTTAAACCATCAAAACACTTCTTTTATTTAAGATTTCATTCTCAATAGTTCTTGTCATCTTAAAATGTGCTTAAAACAAAATAATTCTTATTTTTATGGATTTTAAATTAATGCTACATTTTAATTAAATTATAAAGCTTAAAGTTATTATTTAAGAAATAACATTTTATTTATTTTTTTCATGAAATATAAGATTTGAAAAGACCTTAAAATTCACACAATTAAAACAAATATTAAATTTGGAAGGGGAGGAATAATTTTAACTTGTAATATCTTAACAAGAATATTGCAACTGAATGCAAATAATTTGAAAAACTGACAAAACTGATTTTTTTTTTTATCTGGAACATAATCTGGAGTTATGTTCAGGTGATCAAGATAAAATCTGCTGCGATATATTGTTAAATGTTTGACTTGAAGATCTCTGTCAGTTTTACAAAGATATGAATAATAAGTAAAAAAAAAAAAACATCAAATACAAAAAAAATATGTGTATTGAAGAAGTATGAAACATCTTGTCACTGTTGTTTTTGTTTTAAATGGCTTTTAATTTATATAAAATTAATACAACTTCCATCTGCCCTATCTCATCTGGCAATGACCCAAGGTAGTTTCTGCCTCTCCTCCATATTTTATGAAGGAAGCCATATTGTAAAATGATTTACAGAGTTTAATATTTGGGCCACTCCGCTTATCCCTGTTGAACAAATCCGATGCCTTGGACTACATTTGGACAAACGTCTAACTTGGAATCCTCATATCAGACTTAAGTGACAAGAACCGCTCTACGTTTCCGACTACTCCAGCACTTACTAGACAAACTCTCTAAGGTTCCATTTAATTACAAAAGACTCAGATACATGACTACAATAAGATCTATCAGGACATACGGTGCTGAGATTTGGGGGTCCACAAAGCCATCGAATCCCTCACGCATCCAATCCTTACAATCCAAAATCCTTCGCAAAATCCTCAATGCTCCTTACTTTGTCACTAATAAAATCATCCATAAAGACCTTAATGTTCTTTATGTTTCCGAATCGGGTCCAATCCAGATACCTATCCTATCCTTATAATAAACTTCAGAACCATCCGAACCCTCTCGTTTCCAACCTTGCTTCCTATTCAATCCCTGATAACCCTCCGAGTCTGAAAAGAAGATGGGCTCGAGATCTTCTATTGTAAATACATTTTTTTTTTAGAGTGCTACTAGTGGGTATTTTCTCAACAAGTGTTTTCATGTTTTAATTTTCTGTTATCACATTTACTTAATGTATTCTTTCTTAATACAGTTGTAGATATCATAAATAAAAAAAATAAAAATGTTTGGGCCATGAGAAAAGCTGATGAGTGGGCTACTCCTTTATATATGGTGTTATATCTCCTCTCCCCCCTCCCTCTCCCCTTCCTATGCAATACTATTATCATTTTACACTAACCTCTACCCTCCAATATTAACTATGTGCTAGTGCCTCTGATCGGACGTAGCCAAATGGAATTATTATTTTATAATATTACTGAAGAAGTAGATTTAAAACTCGTTTAACATTTTTTTTTATCAATTGTTAAAACAGTTTTATTAAACTTTAAATAAGAAAAATTATTAATAGCCTGTCTCTTTCCTTAAAAATACAAAGTATTTGGTTGAATGTGTGGGTATAAAATTGATAATAAATAAGTTCTGATTTAAAACAATTGTATGATGCTTATGGAGGAGTGAAAAAGGAAGGGTTGGATGGCTAAAGACTATCCAGAGCTAGTCAATTATTGGAATGTTCTTAGGAAACATTTATTTTTATTGAAATAAAACACCCTTATGAGTGTTCCAAGTACAGCATGATTGTTTTAGTTTTTTATTTGCAGAGATATTGGCTTGGCTCAGAAATGTGGTGACCTCAACTGTGCTGAAAGTTATTTGAGAAGTTTATGTGGTTTTGCCCCACAGATAATAGGTGCAATGAAATCTGCTTTGGTCGGAAATGAAGGTAAAGTTTTTGTATCCCTTTTTGGTGGTGTGGAGAATAAGAAGGCCCTAGCTGCGAAAATCAAACATAAAGACTGACAAAGGCATTATTGTCCTTTGATCATGTAAGGTAAGCCAACACAGCTCCGGACACAGTGCTATCAGCATCACATCTTGCAGTCAGAGCCAGCCCTGTAACAGTTGCATTCTTCCGTTCAATGCAGTCTATGGTTCAACTTATCACTATTGGAAGGGGTTACGAGACTGGCTCTTTATTGCACTCTATTAATAAGATGCAAAAATCTTTGGGTTATTTTAGTATTTCATTTTGCTTATTATTAGTGTTGATCATATCTCAAGTTTTTGCACTCTAGTTATAATTTTGCTATGGAAGAATTATATTATAACAAATTATGGGTATATTCATGAAGAAATTTCGTTCACTTTTTAAAATAAATTATTTATTATGTGATATTGTTGACGTTTTGGGTTTTTAACCCATCTTCAGGACGATTTCTATATTTTGGAATCTATAACAAATGGTGATTGCATATGAGCTGCAATAGAATTCAAGTGATAAAGAAGGTATATAAGATTGAGAATGCGCTTTTAAATAATAAAAACAAAGATTCATATTTAGCTATCCTGTTAAACACAGCTGCTAAAGTGTCTTTCAGTTTTACTTTATCAAAATCCATTTATAGAAGCTAATAAAATACATTTTAAACTAAACACGTTATGCAGAGACGACAAGGTGAGAGAAAAATTGGGAGGGAGTGGTGCGAAACGATATTCTCAACATTTTTATTGGGGGGGAGGAGCAATTGCTCCCCTTGCTCTCCGGAAGTCTGCAACAATTTGCTATATATACTAATTTACCTTATGGCAGAGTTTTTTTATTATTAATTAATGACATTACATATTCTGTTGTCATATATTATACATAAATAAATATTCATTTTTCCTTTAATTGAAATATATTTACAAAAATTACATTGATCAAGGAGATTATTACTCCATACTATTTTATTCAAATAGATTGGACTTAGTTCTAATCTTATTTTGTTATTTTGTCTCTTCTCCCTCTATTTACATTTATGTTTTATTGTTAAATAACCCGAAGCAATGATGATATGATTTGTTAAATAATTTATTTTAAAAAACGTATTAATTTTTACATGAAAATACCAACAATATATATAGTTATAATGTTTTATGTTACGTTTTTCTTTCAATATTTTTTTGCTTTATACTTGGTTTAAATGTCTTTCTTAATGTTATTTTAAGTTTCTATTACTCTTTTCTTATTTCTTAAAGCTTCTATCTTTTATTTTTGTTGAATTAATATAATACCACAATGTTTGAAGTGTAGTCAGTGAATACATAATGTTTGTCCTATGTATATGACTTAAAATGGATTGTTCACATATCATGTCATGCTGGAAGGAAGATTGAGGATTTGTCTTCCCATTAAAGTGTGAACTGGGTCATTACCAGTTCTGTGATTCAAGATTTGTCTTTTTATTTTCCTACTGCTTCTATGTAAGGAAAATATTAAACTTGGGTCAAACTTTTGATGTGCAGTTTTCAACATATCTTACTGTGTTAATTTTTCAGAGCCCGTTAAGAGTCTCGTGATATCTAGCAGCTAGTATTAAAAACTGATTTTAAAAACATTCATTGCCAGATGTGCTTGGTGGGCTTATACCACAGGATTACAAACTTTAATTTTTAGTCTCCAAAAAAAATTTCTTTATTTAAAACAGAACTGTAGTTAACTAAAATTATGATATACATTCCATAAATTTATTGTTGTGTAGTTTTAAATGGGTAGGGTACATCAGAAGAATAAACAATTCTGATTTGTATTATTTTTTTAGTTGTTGATTTGGACAGTTATCTATTTCTCTATAATCAGTGACTAGTTGTTTATTCAGTAAATACCCTAAAATATTCAGCAAGTTACAATTACATAAAATAATATATGAAGTATAATATAATAATTTTCCAAATACTATTATATAATTGTAATATTAATAATAGATAAATAAGTCTTCCTCTATATTTTTGATCCAAAATATGTTGCCTGGCTTGGCTTAACATATTTATTATTTATTTTTTCATTGTTTAATTTCAAATATTTTTTTTTTAGATCTTATATCATGGTTTTATTTATATAAAATAAAACTTGAATCATCTTTGTGAAATTAAGATCTGATTATTGACTTAGAGTTTGTGTTTTTTTTTATTATATGTCCTCAGAAATGGCTCGAGTTATACCATATACTGCTGAAGTTTTTTGCAACTTTTTTTATTCATTGCTCAAATTGTGGTTATGTTTTTTCTCAACAAGTCAAAAATCTTATTGCTCATTTACAGTTAATAATTTTAACTTTCTTTTTTTTTTAACTTTCTTTTACTACTTCATTTATATTTATTTTAATATTACTAATTTTGATCAATTTTTATTGATTGAAATATTTCTAAGATTTCAAAAAACTTTTACTACCTATAGAATAAGAACCTATATCCATTGGTGTCGTAAAAGAAACTACTATAAGATTGAATACCTTATGTAAAAAAAGTAATCCATAGTGTTTTCATAACAGCACAGTTTCAATTAATGAGAGCTTCCCTTAAAATCCACTAAGTGTATCAGCGATTATTGTATCAGTTGGTTTAGTGTGTAATGCTCTTTATGCTTAAATCGAAAGCAGATCCCTTTGATATTTTGGCTGTGCCTTACTTAGCTTGATCAATATGTTACAACCAATTATAACCAATGAGCTGAAATTATTATGACAATAACGTATGTAGCATTCATTTGTGTTGTAATGGTTCAGTGACTTGTAGTAGCATGACTGATTAGTCATTAACACCAATATATGATGTCAATTTGATTAAATAAGCCGTGCTTAACTTTATCATAATTTAATTGTGTATGCGTAACATTTAAACATATTGCATTTAGCATCTTGAACTGATTTACTGAAACCCTTAAAGTGCCACTTTTAACCTTGATTGGTTGTTAACTACTTATTAGAGAAAATTAATTTAAGAAACATTGAATACAATTTAGTGGAGAGGGTAGTGGCATATTTCACATCCAAAATGAAAGAACAAAAATTCAAAAAATATATTTTTTTGTTAGGATGAACATTAGCCACAGGCTAGGGACATAGACATACCAGGAGTGACTGTATAGGATCTTGAATCAGGTGGCGTTGTGGCCGCTCTCTTTATATTATTTTATTAAGTAACTTAACTATTCACTTGTCAACAGTCTCCTAGCTGATCAGTCCCGGTGTTTCTGTGGCCTAAGTTCTTCGTAGATAACCCCAAGGGTGTTTCTTCTGATACATATTGCTGGTAGATAACCTTACTGTATGTATAGGCTTATATTTGAGAGTTGGCCGCTCTCTGAATGGTATGGGTCCAACAATTAAAAATTTCTCGTTAGAAATTTAAAGTAAAGCCTCTTTTATTCTGGATGTGCGATGTATCTGTGTAGGTATTACCTTTATTGATTTATAGTTTATTATTATTAGTTACTCAAAAATAAAACCTGGAATTTTTGTTGCATCAATCTTATTTAGATCGGAGGTTGTCAAAATAGTTCCTTCTTTTGGATGCTCCTTTTTTTTTTTTTAGTTCAATTTTTTATTTGTTGATGGATAAACATGTATAGAGATTTATCTAAACAAATTCTTTATAAAAGGAGTTTTATCTATATTTGACAATAAACAATTAGAAAAATGACTGCTCCCTCAAGAGCCATTCTCTTATTAAATATCATCTTGGGATGATGAAATTTGTTGGATACTCTATTTTATGCTTAGATGATAAAGGAAAGAATAAACATGATCTTTGATATAACTAGACTACAGTTCAAAAAATTAACACTATATAATATATTCATGAAATCAAATTCATTAAAAAATACCAGAATATCTTATATATATGTATACCTTGTTTACCTAGCACCAATAAACACTTTAAACATTTACTCCAACTAAACATTTTCAAGTCACCTTTAAAAGCTGAAGAAATGAACTTAATAACATAAAAGACTATTAGTTAGTTGTACATAAAGTTTTGTGGGTGATTTTTATTGCAGAATGACAACCACTGATCTGTATTACCATTGTTAGTTTTTAAATTTTACTATTTATTTTATGCTTTTTTTTTTTTAATAGACTTATATTCAGATATGGTGTAATGTTTAGTGATTGTTTTTAATTTACTTATAAATTTATAAAAACTGTGATAGATTTCTAGTTACCTAAAACTAGATTAAAACCAAAATTTGTTATTGTGATATTATAGCATATAGTCTTAGTTGTTGCATGATTTTTACCAATAAACCAAATGTACTTATCATTCCAATACAAATATTTTTCATCCATTTTTGTAATTATTATAATTTATCTCTTCCTCCTCCTCTATTATAATATAATACAATTGTTCCTTTAACGTATTGATCTTTTATTGTTTTTCTTTAATAAAATAAAAAAGTGTATAAACCATAGTGGGGTTCAACTTGGTGGTTTTGGTTTGGAACAAGATAAAGTATAAACTCCAATTAATTTTTATTATGATTGACTGATACTTTATTAAAAGGATATATAGATATCTATTAATCAAAGAAGGACATTTATTGCATTAACTATTGATCTATGTAGTATGGTAAGATATTGTGTGTTGTGAATCTAATGGAAACTAATAATTCTGTTTAGCTGTTGTGTTTTAATATTAGATCATATATTTTTTGTTGCATTGTGAAAAAGAACATGATATGTTTTAGAAAATACAATTAAGCTATAGGCCGCCTACTAGCTTCTACAGTCAGATTCATGCATTTTTATGTTTGTATGTCTTGGTTCGTTATATTTATTTTTGTGAAATATGGAAGATCTGAATTTTTTTAAATTTAGAAAATGGCAGTGTTATAAAAATATTCATTCAGTTTCCTTAATTTTTATGAAAAAAAAGTTAGGATATTATTTAATTTAATTTCAAACAAATTAATTTAATGAAGAGGAAGGGAAGACTAGGTGAAAAAAAATTGAGGTGTAACACAAGCCTTGAAAGTAAGTCACATTCATTTTTTTTTTATAATCAAAATAGGAAGATTGAGTTGATGGCTCATAGGTGTGTTCAAGTATTATACTGGTTTTATTCAAAGGTCGAATTCAACAAAGTAAGAGAAAATTTTGCGATTATGAGAAATTTCAAATGTAATGCTTATTTTAAGCTCCCCTGAGTCCTTATAATCCTAGTCTTGCAAAATAGTCTTTGTGTAGCTCAAAATATGAATAGTTCAGCTCAAAAATGATAAGTGGTATGTAACTGAAATTACGTATTTAATGTAGGTATATGTCTGGTATGTTACAGCAACTTTTTGATAAAAACTACCAACTAGAAGTGCCACTCTATATAATTTATTTTACACTTTGCAATTTTTATTAAACTTGTTTTACTAATAAACTGTTTAGTGGTATTTTATATCAACTTGATCTTATCGTCATCTAAGTTGGTTACAAAAAATAGCATAATTATGTAAAAGAATAGAATAGAAAAATAAACTTTATTCTGGGACGAGGTCCCTTAAGAATAACAATTATGAACAAAAAATAAAAATCACATCTGGCCGAAAATTACATCAATCAAGAATATATACAATGTCTTTTGTGAAATCATATTAAAACCAATAAAAAAGTAACACCATTTTGCAAAAAAAAAAACATTATTTAAATGAAAAGAAAAACAGAAATCAGATTAAATAAAAAACAAAATGTTATAAGCACTATGAGTTGACTCTTAAAATTAAAACTCAAACAGTTTCAACAACCAATCACCTCTGTCAAAATTTAATTAATAATATTTATTTCATTATACATCATTTTGGGATGTGAGAAGGAATAGGTAGAGATGATATTTGAAAGAGGATAAGGAAGAGGCATGACAGATATCAGATGGCAAGGAATTTCAAAAGGCAGTGGATCGGGCAATGAAGGAATATTCAAATGTCCTAGTTCTATGGGAAGGGACATAAAGGTCGGAAACACAGGATCTTGTTTTCTGGTAGTGGACCATGGGTTTGAACTGTAGAAGATTGTATATATAGGAGGGGTGTCGGGTGTTGATCATTTGGAATAGGAGAGATCCAAGGAAATATTGTCGGCAGGAAGAAGGGAAGTCACTTTAATTCATGGTAAAGATGGGACACATGAGGTGCTCATAGAGTGCATGGAGGACGGACAAACAATTGACTTTGGGAATTTGTTGAAAGGTTAGGGAGGAACTTTTTCTATGTTTACCTCCTAAGTACTTCCAGCTAATTCCCAAAGTCAATTGTTTGTCCATCCCTTATACACTCTACAACCCCTTTGTTGACTGTACTATACTAAAATACTAAAAAAAAAAAAAAAAAAAAAGAAGGATGAATTACAAAGAAGGAAAACAAAATTATAGATTTTTAACTAATGTATTTTTGAATAAAAATCAACAATGAAACCAATGGTTGCATGATCTTTTTATTATCAGTGATACTAACAAATCTATAAAAAAATAGAAAATCCTTTTGACATATTTTGATTAAGTAACTATAATTTAATTATTATCACATTTTCATATATCTAAAATACAATAATATATAAAATTATATTACCCTGTGTTCCAAACCTATTAAAAATATATAATTAAGGTTTATTATGACAATAAACTATATAATCTGTTCAACAAATAGTAATAAACATTATATTTAATAACAATATGTTTCAAAATAACTTAACTCCTTTCGGGCCCAATAATAGCAAACAACATTTGTGATGTGTTACAAAAATATTGATGAGTAAAAGGCAATTAAACATTTTTGGATGACTTGATTAAATAGATTTAAATAATTATCACAGAATTTATTAAGAAAATAAGAATTGTATTGTACTTATCATACAATGTTATTTAGTTTTTATAATCAGACTCATTGGAATGTTAAATGGGTTTTAACGCATTAATATTGAATCAAATAAATAGTAATGAGTTCCAAAGTAATAGAATAACAAATCTTAGCTTTAATCACAAATAACCAAACCCCATAGCATAAAAAAACCTATATTAATGAGTAAATAGCATATTAACTAATAATAAATATACAGACCTTACTTAAATAAGTTCAAGAAAACCTTCATGAGCTGTTACCATGGCAATAATAATAAGTTACTCTTTTATTTATATATTTTAGTAAAAGACTTTTTATCAATTTTCTTTTTAAAAATTTGATAATTTTAACATAAGATTGAGTGAATCACTAAAATATAACAGCTCACAAATATTTGTGTTTTGCTTTTTAATGCAACTAATTTTTATTTTTTATAATAACACTTGCAACTGATTGCTAAAGTAGTTCTAAAAACTAAAATTTTACTTAAATCAAAAGATGACTTGTCTTTTAATGCCCATTTCTGGAACTAAATTAATAAATCTCATGAAATCTCAGCAGAATAATAACTTATAATTTGTAAAATTATTTTAATTTAACAAAAACTGAAGGAGTACTCTAATTAAATAAAGTGGACTCTTCTTTATCCAAAGTAATTAAAAACAAGGGGATTTGGATTAGCAAAAGAATTAAGATTACCAAACTGTGTTTTCTTAAAACTCATAATTAAAAGTTTTTCGTTAGCCTAAGTTATGGTGTATTAACAATACAATTTTGCACTGAAGGTTATTTTAATGAAAAGGTTAATCATATTCGCTGATAAAGAAATTGAGAAAATAAATATGCTTCCATTCCAAACTGTAATTTGGATTTTATTTCAAATAAAAGGAGTTGATATTTTTAACTAGATTATTTCGGTCTTAGCACGTAATGTGTTTATAATATGATTTTATTAAATATCTCTCTGTATATACTATAGTGTATATATAGAATGTCTCTCATTCTAAAAATCTTCAATTTTTTTTTTTTGAAATGTTGGTTGGAATTATTGAATGGTCTGGATTAGCGAAAGTCCTCTGTAATAATCTTCGACTTCATAACTTCATAGGATAATCAATTTGTTTTAACAAAAATATTTCTTAGTAGCCATACATTAAGGAATATACAGTAGATTTTACATTCACGATGTTAGGTCTGAAATAATAAAACCTAGTTCAGAATTAATGAACATTTACCTAAAAAGCTTTTGTTTTAGTATTACATTTTTTTTCTAGCCAAATTTTGCAGAAAAAATAAACTGTGCTAAATTTTTTATAGTTTCATTTTTAATGCATTCTTTATAGTTTTGTCCATGAATCAGATTTTTTTTTTTTTTCACTCATTGGGTATTTAATCATTTCTATTTTTAAACAAAATTAATAAATCCTGCAGGAGGAGAAATATCATAAGGCTGCGCTATACATTTCCCAAACACATAACTCTTGGTAAAAAAAAAACAAAAAAGAAAACACAGTTCTGGGTGATTTATACCCTGGTCAGCTAATTATATAAACCAATAGAAAAGTTTTCAAGTCATTAATTACATTAAGTAATGTAGAAAAAAGTGTAATATTCCTATTCCATTAAATTAAATTTAACTTTGAATTTCTTAGTTCATTTAGAGAGCTTTTTTTTTTTTTAATATACTAATCCAACATATTCTTATAAGTTGGAATTGAGAAAAGGTTTAAGATATTTATGAAAAGAATCATTGACTGGCTTTGCATTTAGCGGACTACGCTTTGCTTCTTCGAACAGTCGCTCATACACATTTCCATCCCAAGCTCCAAGTGGAGAAGAGAGAATTTCATCATCGATGTCAAATGAATCTACTAACGAGACCGCATTCGGTCTGATTTCCTCGAGTAATTTTTCTTGCCAATTCATCAAGCTGGGTACATCAGTGCTTCTTACATTTGAATGCTGCAATAATATAAAATTTTGAATTATAAATATGAAACCATAAGTGAAAGAAAATTATCAAACTTGAAATATTATTTTTTTATAGTTTTATTTATGTTTCTTTTTTTTTTTCAAATCTTATTTTAAGTTTTTTAATACAAAATATTTGTAGTTTTTAATTTCCAAATTAAATATTCCAAGTTTTCATTTTTGATAAAAAATAAAACATCGATAAGTACTAATGTTAATAAAACATTTAATATTTTAAATATAGTAATAAGAAATACTGGAGGGCACCTTTTGCCCATCTGATGTCATGTGTGTCCACCTATCCTAATCTGTAAAAGTGATCATCATGGCAATTGGTTACAACAAGAACAAAAACTAAATAACAAAGTTGGCAATTTTGCATCCAACTGTTCAATCTGTTTCGTTTCTTATGCTTCTAATCCTAATATTTATGTTTTTATGATAATAATTCAAGCAATCAACTGGTTTCTTTCAAACATTCCAGGTCTTGGAAATAAAGAAATTAAACTTTTTGCAATAATGTATTTTAGTCATGTTTTGCAGAAAACATGGGTACTATCAGGTGACAGGATATGAAATCACCTCATTGTTTTACATAATTTGTTGATAAATAAACAACAAATTGCCTTTATTGGGATATAAATGGTTTGTGATAAAAAGTTTTAAGAATATATAATATCATGAAAAATTTATTAACACTGAAACATGTTTGAGGTCTGGGAAATTTATTTTTATGTCACTATTAAGTAAAAGTTTTGTCATAAACGATGATTCTGAAACATAAAAAAAAAATTGTGAATTGTGCCCACATTCCCTAGCTGGCAAAATTTCCTGACTTCTGGCGTCTTTTCATAAAATTCCTTGAATATTATATTATTGAAAAAATATTGTAAATAAAATTAAATTTTGAAGGGGCAATAAAAAAAAGAAGAAAAAACTGTTATATTTGTAAGAAAAAAAACCTACTTACTGTAAGGATAAATAAATAAAAATGAAAGAAAAAGTAAGGAAATAAAAATGAATTCATCTTTTTGTATTAGAACACTCCATAAATAAATTTAAAACCTCAAACTAATTAACAATCATTTAAGGGCTAATGATATTAAAGCAATTACATGACAATATAAAGTTAAATATTTACAAATATTATAAATAACTTACTAAAAGGAAATGTCCAAGGTATTTGAGAAGCCAGTATACACCATACAGCTCACACAAAGCACCAAGAACATTTCGTAGTTCGGAGGAGAGTTCTGGATTAGATAGTTGATCACAAAACTTGCGGACGAGAAAACAACGGGCATGAAACTAGAAAAATTTATTTTACAAAATTTTCTGAAAATCATTTTGTATGCATAACTATTAATAGGAACAAACTTACCTCTGCAGCAACAACGAGTCTGTTGGAATAACGGTTCCAAACATCTTCTTGAATGTGACCACTTGCTACATCTTTATTGACTAATTCTGTCACATCCTTTGTCAATCTGCAACAAGTTGAACATGTAAAATAAAGTTGTAGAATGAATTGAAATTCCAAAGTAATAACCTCAAATATCAGCTTTTTTATTTCAAATAATTATTTAAAGTTGGAAAAATTTAATGTTAAGATAAACACATCCAAATTATATTACCTATTATTTTTTGTAATAGTATTTTTCCTAATTTTACTTTCAGTTTTTTGAAAAAATATATTTAATTAAAAAAAATTATTCTGATACACAGAATACACTTTATTACCCCATAGCAACTTGTTCATAAGCAGTGACGAGAGAAGTAAGATCATTAGTCCACGGCAAGCGACGCTCTGAATGCCTTTCCAAATATTTCACTGTTGGCGCTAATGGTTGATGATCAATAACTTTCTGCCATGCCTTCATTAAAAATCTATAAACCATTAAAATGTTTAGAAAAATAGTAATAAAACACGCACATAAATATTTTTATTTTAAATAATACCTTGCAGTCTGCAAAAGCATTACTGTGTTCTCTCCCTCATATGTCTCAGCAGCGGTTACCATGCCGTAATTCGTAGGTAAAGAAGAACAAGTCATGAACCCATGACCTCCACATGCTCTTCTACATTCATCTATGGCTCGAGCAGAATCAGCTGTGCAAATAGCTTTCAAGCAGCAAGATAATGCATGTAACTTAAAGAAAATTTAATGGTTATTTTAAAGAAAACACTTTGAAAAATTACAATGAAATCATTTTTAAAAAAATATTGATTATCACCACTTTAGCATTATTACATTAGTATTTTGAGATAACATTGATGAATTTAATTTTCGTAATCTAATTTTGCTAATTAATGATATTGATGGCTTATTTCTAAAATCCTCAAAGTCAAATTTACTGAAATTCTAAAATCTTGTAACAAATGCTCATTTGTTTATTTTAAAATTACTATGTTTTGTGTTATGTTTTTAACAATTTCAGGGATTTTTCAATTCAATTCAATATACAGGAAATAAATGTTCAAAACTTTCACTTTTCTCAAATAGAAAAATAGGTTTTTGCTTCATAGCATAAAATTTATTTTTATGGATTTCCAAGGTTGTAAAGGTAAGTCATCGATATACTACTTGGCTTCAATGAATCGATATAATGCATACAATGAATATATTAGTTTATTATTAAAATTAAATGTCTTACTTCAGGTAGTCTCTCTAGATCACCCTGCTCTAACTCAGAAGATACATTGTTGTACATATCCCAAATCCATTTAGCAGCAAATACCATGGCGAGTGATGAGGAAATATGTGGGAATATCTTGTACTGCTGTGTCTTGTATTCAAGTATTATAGGTTCTGGTTCCCTAAAATGTAAATGTATAACATGTTAACACTTTTAGTTTTGGTTTCATTTTATGAAAATACCACATGTACAGCATCTTTAAATTTTTTCTTTAAAAGAATTTAAATTGATATATCTTTTTTAACCATTCACAAAACAATTTCTAGACAATCAATTTAAAAACAAAATATACCCCTTTAAATCTAAAAGGATACTGAAGGCAATTGTCACAGACAGGAGTTGAAAAAGTCTGTGCCCATCACCTACGAATAGAAAGGGATAGAGAACACAGAATGTACTTTCCAAAAGGCCGCTCCTCCGTGGGGAAAGAAATCATCATCGTTCCAGAAGAATAATCCACACCAAGAGTATTCAGTCAGCATAATTTTTAAGAATGATTTTAAGAGCATATACATTTTAACATTTATTTATTTTTTTATAAAATGCTTATTCTCATGTAAAATCACAATCAATTTTTTATGGTAATGGCAGGATTAACCACCCACAATCATAAAATGACTGGGTTAGGAAACAAAAATGCTTAACCAACGGACTACTTTTATTTTAAATTTAACTGACTTGAAATGCCATTTTCCTAGATAGTTCCATCTAGTATTCAAAAATTCACAATTTTTTAGACTAAATAGACCTACAACAGAATCATCTTGAAGATCTGGAGTTTTAGAGTTGAATAATTTTTTTAATACATAACCTATATTCATGCTTTGTTGCAAGTTGATGCATTAATTTTAATAGATTCATTCAAGGGCTTTATTAGCATTTAATTTTGATTTATAAGTACAATACACAATATTTTACTAACCCAGGTCTCAACTCCGACTGCTTTCTAACTGCACTGTACCTCGTTGCAATGGTAACAGCTTTGCTCAGGTAAGCAGCTGCTACTCCCTTGATAAGAGCGACTCTCACAAAAATCATAGTTCCATAAGTCAGCTTGTCACTAGGTGATTTCACATATGTTCCATCCTATTAGGAAATATACTAAATAAATAGTTCATATCACATTATTTTATTAGCAACAATACCTTATCATTACAATTTGCAGTCATATAATTTAATAATCAATCAAATACCTTTAGAACTTTAGCATTCTTCATCAACATTTGTTCCCTTGGTATGCGAACCTTTTCAAACCCAAGGTAACCATTGTTAGTTCCATTCATACCAAGTTTACCTCCAATTTCTCCAATTATAATACCTGAAAAAAAATTATTTTATTTCAATTAAAAAAAAATTAATAGTAAGTAGATTTAAATATATTTTTGAAAGGTTATATACCAGGAAGTGGTTGGTGAGTTTCTGTATCCCTCAACTGGACAATAAAAGGATGAATACCATGGCATTTTCCTTTTGTATGAAGTTGAGCAACAACAATAGCATAATTTGCAGTGTGTCCCACTAAAAGTAAATAGCACATCATTCAATCCAACTTATACTTTTAAATGGAAAATGTATACCAATAACAGTGTAACTGAACAATATTTTCAGATCAATAATAACAAAAGAATTTTTAAATTTAAAAGCATGAAAGATTGAATTTGGAATAGTCTTAACAACTCAGGTGAAAAATGAAATTCATAGGGGAAAAAAAACAGGATTTTAAATTGTGTTCTTGCTCAGCATTCCTGTTTTTCAATATTGCACCTTAATCATCAACTTTATTTCCACCTTCAATAATAGATACATTTATGTGAAGCTTTATTTAACTTAGTTCTTCAATAAATATTGGTTTGGTGATGATAGGTTTAAGAATAATAAAAAAAAAATGTAGAAACCTTTATAAACATAATAAATTCTAAAACAGTTAATAGTGACAGTTGAAAAGGTGTTATGAGTGTAACATTCTTACATCCACCAGGCCACCATTTATATGAGGTAAGAGTTGGAGAGTGGAGAACAAACTCTTCAGTCTTTGGATCATAGTGAGCAGTAGTTTCTAATCCCCTAATGAAAGTTCCATGGCCTAATTCAGTCTATAAAAACAAATATAATCTAATCAGTTTTCTTTGTTTATTTTATTTTAAATAAAAGCAATGCCATAGAATACATGGATATATATAATCTTTATAGACACATATACGTATCAAAGAGCTTACCTGTGCATAAGTACCAAGAATTTGGCAATTCCAGGCTTTCGAAATCCAATGAGCTTGTTGTTCGATTGTTCCTTGTCCCATTATAGTGGGAAGAAACATAACAAAATGAAGGGCGAAAGGCATACCATCTCTCAAAATAGCACTACCAATGTGGCCTCCAAGGACAGCTCTATAAATTTTTCAAACATTATACAATTTGACATTTAGTATGGTGATGGAGGTATCATTGAATATTGGATGAAATCAAGAAGATGATTGGGAATATGCCAAAAAAAGAGGTGATTCAAAGAGTGCAATATTCTTTTAATTTATGCCAATGTTTTAGTATAAGTTTAGGCTTTCATTGGGGTATGTTGTAAGGAGTTCTGGAGCAAGTCATTAATTTATTGTGCATAATAACTGATAATTGTCTTATTCATAATAATTATTAATTTTTTTTTCAATCAGTAGTAAGAACTAATAAACATCATTTTGAGAGAGACTGCTTAACACAGGGCTTTGACCACCAGATTTATCTTCTAACTAAATTTCTTTGTTTAATAAATGTGGTAAACTTGTTGCGATTGCATGAATTCATTTTTGTTTGGAAGATAATGCAGTCTACTCGATAATTTGAAGCTCCAAGGGACCAAAGAATAAGCTGAAATTGCCAAGAGTTAAAAAATACATAATAGGAGCTCAGAAAATCGAGTGGGAGATAGAAAAAAAAATTAAACAAAAAAGAGCTTGATTAAAAGTAGGCATGTTAACTACGTGTTCTTTATTTTAAAATGTATAAGATAATAAACAAATATTGTACATATATTTTTCATATTGGAAAAAGGCGATGATTTTTGTGGGTACAATGACTTCATTTTCACAAATTCAAAAAACACGATTTTAATTTTACATGGTAGGTATTAAAGCAAACTAAATAATCTTATTTTGTAAACAAATGACAAGTCTGTGTATGTTCAAAACAACAGAAAGAATTATATATACAATTTATATTATAAATAAATAAATATACTATAATAATTTAAGATATATGGCTAACGACTTACTGGTATAAATCCACAGAGCCACCAGACTTCTTTATCTCCTGCCATTCATTTATTTTATAAAACAGAAGACAAGATTTTCTGATTGATTCTTCATACCTTTCAACATGACTTAAATATTCATGTGGTACAGGTTCTTTAAATGTTGGATCATGGACGAAGAATTCAACTGAAAATAATGACTTTATCAGTAATTGAAAAAAACATTAAAAGTATAAATAAATACATTTTGAATAATGAAACAGTTATCATAAAGCACAGCTGAAAATAATTATTAGAATAAATAAGAAAAATAATAGAAGAGAAGAATAGTTGGGGTGATCAGTCAAAAAACAAAATAGTAAAAATAAATAATTATATTTATTTTTATATTTGCCGATGTTTCAGCCCAAAGTCCAGGCCTTCATTAAAGCTAAGAAAAATCAGATAACAATAGGTATGAGAAACTATAAATATTGAATAATAAAGAATTAAAATCAAAAGGTGAAAGATATAGACTAAAAAATGTAGATAGAATAAATTTAAATTAAAATAAAGTAGATAGAGTGAACATTAAGTAAAATAAAGTCGGTAGAATAATAACAGTAACAGAGAATTAAGAAATAAATAATAATGGCAACAAAGTACGGACTAATGAAATAAACATAATCAAAATAAGGTAACATAAGAAATGAAAAATGGTAATCTTAGAAAAAAATGTAAAACAGAGAAAATGAATATGAAGTTATATAAGAAAATAATGAATATAAATAGAAAATTGAGAAATTGTAAAATCTATCTAAATATACTGACTACGTACAAGAGAATAAAAGGTTAAAACAATGTGAAAAAAGATAAATGAGAAAATTGATCAATATATACAAAATAGAGATGGAGACCGACTCTGAGTAGGCATAAGCCAAGGATATGGAGGTATAGAAAATAAATTGACGGGAAAGAGGAGAAAACTAAGATGAGAAATATAAAGAGACCTGGTCAATCGAAGAAGCATGGGAAGACAAAGGTATTAGAGCAGGAAAGAGTAGAACTACATAGCGCCATGTGTAACGGTTAACTGAAATACGTGAACTAAAGCACAGAAACGTATATAATGGGCAAGAGATTTATTATAGATAAATTCTATAAGTTATTAAATAAATGTGTAATTGAAAGAAGATGGAAATAAGGTACTTGCAGATAGTATAAAACAGAGATAAATATTAAATAATCATGGAGTATTACTGAAATAAACGAAAAACGTGAGATTAATTTAAATCTTCTTTCAAATGGGTGATTAAACAACACTGTTGTACTTATAGAAATGGAATCACAAAATAGTTTTAGTGCTGAATCATGTTATGTAGCGAAATTTCTTCATAGCAGATTTCAGTTCATCCACAACCTAAAAGAATATATGGTAATCACTCAACAATTTCTTACCTTTATTTTTAATTTCAACTATATACAAATTTTAGAATCATATTTTAAAATGAAAAAATTAAATTTATTAATAAAAACTTTGAAATTATATTTATTTTGAAAATTTAAAAAGATTTGTATCTATAGAAAATCAATGTTGATAAGAAACAGGTTTGTAATTTGAAAAAATGTTCTGAGTTATTAATTCCTAGTCAAATTAAATAGTTAAATTTGCTGGATCCTATTTGCCGAAATACATTAAATAATAAACTATTGAGATGCAGCTTAAGTGCTGATCTCACCATGGTTCCCATTGGAAATTTTCACGATCTATTTTTCCAGTGTATGAAAAATATTTTTTCAAATTTTACATAAAACTAAAGCACATCATATCTTTTTGTAAATGGGCGATTAAACAACATTCTAATACTTATAGAAATGAAATTACAAAATAGTTTGATAGCTGAGCCTATATTAAGAAAATATAAACATATTTATTTAAATTTTACACAATTCATAACTCAAAAACTGTAAAAAAGATAAAATTTTCAAAACATTGAATTCAGGATACTAAAGAGTACATTTAACCAAAAAATTGGGCTAAGTCAAGTGGAAAAGTATTTCTTTTTGATTGGTTTAATTAGGAATAATATTTTTTTATTATTGTCATTTTTATTATTCTTAACTAAAAACACTAAAGATTCAGTTAAAGATCATCCAACTTTATTAAGAAAATAATATTTGAACAAAAATTCAGAGAGGAGAAAATCGAAAAAAAAAAAAAAAAAATCAAGAAAGCTAAATAATGTCAGCAGCCTTCCTGAGGTTTAGTTCATGGACGGTCTGTTTCAGTGAAAGAAATATAGGTCCTTGTGCACCTGCTGACTCTGAGTAGTCATAATCCATGGATCTAAACCAATTTGTCACTGTACTTGAATCTGAGTGAATCGGTGAGAAGAAAATTGCCAGATTGCCCCAATGGGATCGGATATTGAGCTACGGATGGTCTGCCGCTGCTTCATGGAGACCATTATTCGTAGCAATGTGAGGTTGGGTGACTCCCTCCAGACTCTCTGTGCTCCCACAAGCAATATATTTCTGTATGAAGACCATATCTAGTGGCCAAAGATCTTCATGGTCTATAGTGCCAACCGGAAATACAATATATCAAAAAATACAGCTCAAGGAATAAATTAAAATACATCATTAGTTATAATATGTACTTTTCTAATAAATAAAGGAAAATTATAATTCTATATAATGAAATATTTTAATTTAATCAAATTAATCAAGAACTATTTATATACTCTTGTTATATATATATACGCACAAACCAATCAATAAATTGTATTTGTTTGTGGAAAAGTAAAATTGATAGGGTGGCTCAACCAAACTTGTGAACATTGAAGTATGTTACTAATTATTAGAGTCATTCCATTAAAATTTACGAAACTTTATATTTTTAAAAAGTTAAAAAAAAAACATTGGAGGATTTGTGTTTAATCAATGTTGAGGTAGGATAAAATCAAATTTAAACAGCATGATTGTCAGACATAGTAAAGGTCATGAAATGTAGCCTTGATGAACCTTTTTTTTTTTCAACTGTCATTGTTTCACAGACTATAGCAATTTATTTATATCTTATCGTCTTCAGACCATCTTTATATTTATTTATGGGGCTCATAAAGTATTTTTTTATTATTACATTTATTATACATTTATATACATACATTTATTATACAGGGAAGGACTGCTATCTGCCAATGTTGACAAAACTATCAATTCTATGGAGATAGTATTTATACCCATATATGTTTTTATATTAAATTCAATAAGGTGTAGTGTAGTGCTCCAAGTAATTTCACCTATTTAATCGAATATCGAAGTACGTTTGGTGGTAGAAGTAACACAAAAAAAAAATTAAAATTCCTATTAGAAACAAACTTTATAAAGTTTGTTATATATATACATATATATTCATGACAGACGCTAATAAGATTTTTGGGAAATTCTTTTTCATAGGATCTTTTCTTTTTTTTTTCCTTTCGTCGGCTCAAGACGCCCACTGAAGTCCTATACTGCCCCTTCATAAGATCTTATAATGAAATGAAATGAAAATAGCCTTTATTTATGCACTAATATTACAATTTCAAAAATAAACAAAACAAAAAAAAAACAATTTTTTTTTTTATACATTATAATTTATACAGAACTTTTTACTATCTTGCATAGGCCTTCCCTTAGGATTAATAGTCTTTAACACTCCCCTGGGTGACTTGCCCTACTGGAAAGCGTGATTTCTGACCTTTAACCATTTTTCTTTCCACACATCGCTGTCCCTAGCTGCTCTCCAAAAGCAGACCAGAAAGGTCCTGCCAAAAGCCTAAATGGATCTCTCCATCTCTTCATTTGTCATATGGAGTCCATTCGGTGATATCGCAGAAGATGTCCAGCCCATTTCCATTTGTCTTTTCTTATTTGCGAGAGTGTGTCTTTGAGCCCTGTTTTTTCTTTTATCTTCTTGCATCTGATTTTATCTATCTTTTTACTTTCACAATGCTTCTTTCGATGCAATTTTGCCACACCATGATCTTCCTCTCTTGGGCTTTTGTCAATGACCATTTTGGGAGCCATAGGTCACCACTGGCATAATAATAATGG